ACGATGACCTCAACCTTAATGTTAATGTTAAAGGGGAGGCTCATTAAGAGTTAGCGATATGCCAACAGCATGTGCTTGCTTACTGATAGCAAAACAGACTTGAAACCCTTACTGCTGAAGGATAGAGACTACACAGCCTCACCACTGGTCCAATAAGCAGCATTATGAGAAACAGAACAGACAGCAGTTGTGAGGATTTCATTTCACTTGGTCTATTCCCCTAGAAGCAACAGTCCAGAAAGCAAACAACATTTCGTATCGTGGCAAATCTACTGAAAAAAAATTTTTCTTTAAAGGGTTAAAAGCAATGCTGCTACTTTGAGGACTAAGTGCCTAATCCAAGCCACGGTACTGTGAGTGGTCTCATGCATGCAAAAGCTAGACAGTGAAGACAGAGAAAAGTGGCGCATTTGAATTACGGTGTTGGGAACGAATATTGACTCCACCGTGCACTTCCAGATACATCAGCAAATTTGTGTCGGAGGAAGTACAGACCGCTCCTTGGAAGCCAGGATGGTGAGCTGGTGCCTCGTGTACTTTGGACATGTTATCAGGAAGGGCCCAAACTCAACACTCACTGCCGTCGAGGACATTCTGACTCATCGCTGTCCCATGGGACAGAGAACTGCCCCTGTGTGTTTCTAGGCCTATCAATCTTTATGAGAGTAGAGAGCTTCATCTTTACCCGTCAGGCTCGTGGTTTCAAACGACTGACCTTCTGATTAGCAGCCTGATGGGTAACTGACTCCACCATCAGGACCAGTCCCCTGGAAAAGGACATCGTGCTTGGTAAAGTATCGGGTCAGTGAAAGAGAAAGTCTCTCAAGAGATGGATGGCTTGACACAAGACTCCCACAAAACAACACTTCTGCGGATGGAGCGCGCGGGTGGGGCAGCGCTTCGGGCTTCGGTAAATGGGCTCGCGGTGGGTGGAAATGACTTGGTGGCTCTGTAACGTACTTTGTAAAAGTGGACATAAGTCACCCAGTCTCTCCCCCCAATCATTGTAATTTGTGTTTTCCACGTGTATGGTTTTTCATCATTTCATTTGGTATATAATAATATAGTGTTCTCTGTTTTCACTTAGCGTTATTTCAAGAACATTGCTAGTCTTCTCAATTAGACTTTTAAAATATGCATAATGTCATTTATGTTGTTATTGTTGAGACTCGATTAGACTTTTTAATCGTTTCAAGGAAACGATTATGTTTCAAGGAAGTTATAGTCTTACTTAATCGACAGGCTTGCACGTCCCGGTTGCAGCTTTACGTTTGTGCCGTTTGACTAGTCGTGACTAGAGTGAGCTCTTTGCATGTGGACCTCTGCTAAGCAGCTGTCGCTGGGCATCTGATTGCTCGGTGCGGACACAGGATGTCGTAACCATAAAAAATGCCTCTTGTCATCCTTGCGTCTCAGTCGGAGGCAGACAAACTGCTCACTGTCTGAACAGGTGAAGTCATCTTTCTGGGGTTCTAGAGTTTGGGGAACCCCTGGGTGGTGCAAACGGTTAACACCAGTGCCTGCTCACCAGAAGATTGGCTATTCAAGTTCATGCAGAGGTACCTCAGAAAAAAGCCTGGTAGCCTCCTCCCCCAGCATCAGCCATTGAACGCCTTCTGGGACGAAGTTCCCTGCTGACTGACACACGTGGGGTGGCCAGGAGTTGCAGCCCTCTCAACCGCATCTGGTCTTCAGCGGGCACACCCGGGCTGAGACCCCAGCCTCCGCAATACCAGTGTGCACAACAGGCGCGCATGTGCTTGTTGGCGGGCCAGCGGCGGCTCCTTCTGCACGGGGACGGCCATCAGCCCCTAGTGCTGTGCAGAGCTGGCAGCCCGCACCACTAGGCGTTGCCTCTTTCCACTTTCTCTGGGCGTCCACTCCTCAGGGTGGGACCGCTCATCTCGTAAAGTCTCCGTGTCGTAGTGGTTTAGTGGTGTGGAAACTATAGATCAGTTTTTGTTTTGTTTTCTAACAGCCAAACCCCACGGGCTGGGTCCTTGCTTGGCAGTCGTCGGGCCCCCCCTCTCCTGCCGTGAATAGAAACAGGCACCCTGGCTTGGCTGCGGCCCAGGGAGAGGGCAGAGCTAGGTGGAATAAAGAGCAAAGCAAGCGGAAAGCCGGGCCTGGGCCTGGGGGCCGGAGTGCTTTTGGAGAGAGCCCAGAGGAGAGTGGGAAGAGAGCCCTCCACTCTCTCAGGGCAGGATGCAGCTCGGGTCCCCCTCTTTGTCCTGTCTTCAGCGGAGGACTGAGTGAACCAGGCAGCAGGAGTCCCTTTGGAAAGGCACTTCCATGTTCTCCTCTGGCTTGCTCCCCATGCGCTCTGCGGGCGCGGACGTCAGGCCCTCTCTTTACATCACGGCCCCCTCACTCTCAGCAGATGCTGCCGGAGCTCAGAGATGCGCCAGCTCTCTGTTGGCTCGTTGAGGGGCCAACTGTTCTTGGTGGCATCTGAGGAAGTGCCACCGGCCTGAGTCTGAAGGACTTGAGGCATTTCTGACTGGCAGTGTTCTCCCAGGCCTCTCCTTTTGGGGGGGCGGGGGGGGGGCCTAGAAACATAAAAGCTTGCATGAAGAAACCCCGTGCCCTTTCACTATGCACACAACAATCTAGGCCTTCCAGAAGGCTCTCCCCACTAGGAATCATAGAAGGGGCGTAAACAGGGAGAAATGCAGTCCTGAGCATTTCTGGCGTGGGAGAGAAAGCTACCAGCACCTCCATGACACCCGAGGTGGGCCGTGGAGGGAAGACCCAGAGGGCAGGGCCGGGGCTTTTAAGAGTCCGAGGAGAAAACCCGGGCCCGGTGACTGTCAGGGACCCAAGGTGAGCGTGTCTAAGGGCCCCTGCCAGTTTTAGAAGACAGAAAGGGACTTCATAAACCTGATGCATCCGATAGCTCCATAGACTGCTCAGTGAGGATGGTGCCAGGGCCCTTGAACTCTCAGGAGCCTGGACCTAGAGGGGAGCTTAATTCAGTGAGAGGGAGAGAAACTGTAATCAACCTGCCACCAAGTTGCTGGCTGATCTCTCCGAGGAATGGTCCCATATCTTGGACTTAATGTTGGTTTCTGCTGCTGGCAAATGGGGCACTCAGCAGTGGCAGTGGCCAAGTCAGCCTTGGTGAGCGGAAGTCCATGTTGCTGTGCCATGCATAACCTCCATCCCTGCCACCATGTCCACTTTGTTCATGTGTCCATTGGGCGATAACAGGAGTGGCAGAGGAAAGAGGAGGACCAGTCTCCACAGCGCATGTCATCTTATCCACTTGATTATTAAAGTCCTCCTCTTCAGAGGTAACCCTTTGCTGAGTGTTCACGTGAGATACAATTTACTTTCTTGACCCATTCAGAGAGGTCTATTCATATACCTCTTCCCCACACCTCCTTGTCACCAATTTTCCAATCATGGTCTTTCCAGTTCCCTGACCATCCAGCCAAGCCATTAGCCACAGCCCATGAATCAGTATACAGTCTCACATCTGGCCATTTTTCCTTATATGCAAACTGAACGGGCAGGTGCACTACTCGAAGTTCTGCCCATTGGGAAGATTTCCCTTCACCACTGACCTTTAGGGAGATCCCAGAAAGGGGCTGTAGTGCTGCTGCTGTCCACTTACGAGTGGCACCTGCATATCGTGCAGAGTCATCCGTAAACCAAGCATGACTTTTTTGGTCTTCAGTTAAAGTATGGTAAGGAACTCCCCAGGAGGCCATAGGTGCAGACTGGGAGAAAGGAGGTAATGTGACAGGAGTGGAAACTGTGGGCATTTGGGCAAAAGCCATCTACAGGCTACCCAGGGAACATCCTGTCTGAACAGAAGAACTAAAATTTTCGTAGACAACCCAGGCTGTCTGGTCTCAAACATTTTATGTTGAGCTCTAGAAGCTAAGACACAGAGCCCATGCTGTCAGATTTCATGAAGATGGCGTTCTAGAACAGGCTAAAGTAATGTCAAACTCGGAGTGAAGGTTGCCCCTGGGCATGGAAGGTATTAATGAGGAAAGGACTTGAAAGAAGTTTCTGGAACGATGGAAATGGTGATAAGAAAGCAGGTTACACAAGTGTAAACAGTAGTCAGAACTTGCAAGCCCTATCCTTAAGATCTGTACATGTCACTGCATGTAAGTTATATCTTAATTGTTAAAAGATTTTTTCTTACAGACTGGGAAGTTTGGCTCTTGCATTAGAAACCTGCAGTGATTTCTTGGGCTTGGTTTTGGTTTGTGATAGATCTATCTGCCTGCTTGTTCAGGGCACACTCTGACAGTAGCCAGCTGACCTGTGGCCTCTGTTCTCTTCTCTACTTTCCTTCCTCAGGATGCCCACATCCTGCTTCAGCCTGGGTTCTCTGGCTGATGCGACCTTAATGTTTCAGCACACAATCGGACAGCAGTAGTTCAACCCATTGTCATCCAGCTAATTCCGACTCCTATTGATTCTATAGGGTTTCCGAGGTTATAAATCTGTACAGAAGGAGGCTGCTTCATCTCTCCCCCACTCCACACCCCACCCCCTCCCAGCATCTGGTGGGTTCAAACCATTGGCCTTTGGTTAGCAGCCCAATGCTTAATCCACTGCACAAGGGCTCCTTCAATATCATAATAGGAGGAACTTAATGGTGTCATAGAGATGGTGAGACTCAAATTGGCCTGACCTGGGTTTGAATCCAAAGATCACCCATTGTGTAGGCTAGAACATGTCCCCTGAGCCTCAGTCTCCTTTTCTGTACACTGGGCAAACAGAATGAAATGAGCTAGCTCAAGATAGATAGCACACAAGGAGTCAGGCACATGGCGGCCAGGACTCCGCCAGGCTTCTGTGGCTTTTCCACCTGTGCTGCTGCTCCCTCCTCGGGCATGGAGTGCCTGCAGGGACTCGGATGCACGCTTCCCTAGTATGTGCTGTGGGATCACACAGGTGTTACATGTTCTTTCTCCCAGAGAGCAGTCAGGGAACTTGACTAAAAGAAACAGCCCTCTAACCATTTTCTGTGTTTGTAGGGCATCGGCATGGAGGTCACGAGTGAGAGTAAAATGGTGTCCTCCGATTTCAGCACAGGGCCTGCGGAAAGAGCCGCCAAGCCTTTGCAGTTTAAGGATCCCAACTTTGTGGTAAGCTTCTAAGGAATTTCAGATTTAAAAACCCGAATACACACACCACAGCCTCTGGTTTTGCTGGGCCCACAGCTGAGTGGTGACGGTACCTCTTCCTTTACCAACTTGAATGCCCCTTCCCATCCCCAAGAATTCCCCCCCATGGGCTGGAGTGATGGAGCAGGGGCCTTTCCTGCTGACCCCCCACTGTGTTAGGCCCCGCAGTTTGGGTGCCTTCTGTGGGAGTTTTTACAGGGTGCTGTTTGGAGAGCAGGCCCTTCAGTGATTATCTGATTACTGCTCCCCTTTCGTTGGAATGTGATGTAGATGAGGCTTGAGCCTGCTTCCTAACGACCAGTGCTTTCCTTCGGTTCTGGAAGTAGAGCTGAGCTGTACAGCCATAAAACAGGAAAAGGGTCTCTTCATTCTTGAGAGAGACTAAATTACAGCAGTTCAGATGACACCATTTGTAGTTACTTTTCGTTGATTTCCATTGTGGAGATACAGCATGATCAGTGCCTACAACAGAATTCTGTCATTCCACACCATTTTATTGTGGCAATGTCATGGGGCCAGAAAGCTAAGGCCTCTGGACGGCTCTCCATGCCATAATTGAGGCTTACGCGGGTTTCCAGCATTACCAGCCATTTACAAGGCAGAGACTTGCCCCCAGAGGGGTGGTTAGAGATGCAGTCCTGAATTTTAAATCTAACTGCACAGTTGGTTGATTTGAAAATGATGGGAAATTCATGAATGAATCCCACAAGTTTTGATCCAAGAAAGGATTGAATTTTTTACATGCATGCCTAAAAAAGTAGCCCCTTTGTTTCTGCCCCTTCATCAACGCATGGGTTTTGGCAACCCCAAAGTGTTGCTTTTTTATAGCTAAGATTAAAGCGTCCAATGTAATAACTTACAAAACCCAAACAAAACAAAATCCTAGGGGCACAAACGATGGCTGCCAGCGCGAGGAGGAGTGCGACCGAGCCATGAGTGCGCATGCGGCAGGTCCTCACATGGCAGCCTCAGTTGATGTTTCTTTCTCCCACCCCGCTTGTCGAGCATTCCGGCCACGGAGGTGCAGTGGCTGGCAAGAAGAACAGAACCTGGAAGAACCTGAAACAGATTCTCGCTTCGGAAAGGGCATTGCCGTGGCAACTGAACGACCCTAACTGTGAGCTATCTCGAGCCTTCCGTGTGTTTATAATGTTCACAGCAGGGACTTTCTTGTAACAAGCCTGCATTATCTTCTGGTGTTTGGAAGAGGGAGCGGGAAAAGGTTTGTCACTTGAGTTTCCAGTGGCATCAGTCTGGGAACCTGTGCGTGTACTTCCTCATTGCTGGCCGTGGAGTCTGTTTGTTTGTGTTGTCATGAGTGTGTGGTCTTCTAGGGTCACTGTTAGCACTTTCCGGCTGGAGAAGTAGGTCCTGATACAATAATATTAGTGTCTCTTTTCGACAAACTTTTTGTTCCACTCTTCAAGTTGGTTCCCAGGAATCAGGAAGCTCACTTCCCCCAGCCTGCTGGACGGCCAGCTGTGTGAGCCTCAGGATAAAGGCTTTATGCGGCAGATGGCCACCTCTGTGTAAAACACTGCCAGGTGTGCCATTTAACATGAAGGACAAGGGCAGGCTCCCTGTTCCGCCCACCTGTCCTACCGCACCCTTTCCATGGGGTGACCCAGGATGGTGACAAGTAAGTCAGGCAGTTGTCTAGCTGTGGACATCCACATCCATGTGCCCGGGCCCAATCTGTGGGTTGGTTGGCATCTCATCCCCATTACCCTGGGGACTCTGAGACTGTGCATAGATCTTGTGGGCAGATGGGTTTCCGGGGGTGGGTCTGCTGGAGTGGAGGGTCTGTGGTGAGAGGGCAGGGCTTGACCCTCAGCCCACAGCTCATCATCGGCATTCTGGTACTTCCCAGGACTCCTCCTGTACTTCTTTGGTTAAGCCCCAGAAAGTTCTCTGCAGGCTCAGTCACAAACTAAACAGTTCGGGGTTCTTATTCCACAGTGCTAGATAGAAGGGTCAAGGTTTGGATGTTGGAAGCCAGTTTGGCTATCTTCCTTTTCCTCCCTTCCAGACTTCAGCGTTGATGCTCCTCCATCCTTTAAACCAGCCAAGAAGTACTCCGACGTCTCCGGTCTCCTTGTGAGTATGAGTCCACCTCCCTGACTTAGAACATTAACCTGGAAAGAAGATTCCAGAGTCAAAATGTCTGTTTAGACCAGTGGTTCTCAACCTTCCTAATGCCGCGACCCTTTCATACAGTTCCTCATGTGGTGGTGACCCCCAACCATACAGTTATTTTCATTGCTACTTCATCACTGTCATTTTGCTACTGTGATGGATTGGGTGACTCCTATGAAAGGGTAGTTTGACCCCCAAAGGGGTCGAGACCCACAGGTTGAGAACCGCTGATGTAGACCATGTTGAATGTCGAGCCCTGCTGCTCCAGCCTGGAGCCCGTGCCCTGGCAGTGGGAACCGGGTTTACGAGGAAGTGTTCCTGTGGTTCCTTCATGGACACCACCTGGGCTGTCGGTGTGGGCAGCCAAGAGGAAGGGCTGCCCCAGAAGGCCGCAGGCTCGAGTTGCAGTTCCCCTTCCTGTGCTTGTTAACTGTGGCCCTCACATGGAAGAAACAACTCCTTTGTTTTTCCATTGCTGAACTTCTGTTTTTAATTTTCTTGCTTTTTTTTAAACCTAAGCATCTCTGAAGGGGCCGTATGGTCAGGGTGGTCATTTTCAAGCTTGTTCTTAAGCACCAGGCCCTCTTTTCCAAATGAGATCTTTCACGGAATCCAAATATACCCAGCACTGGCGCTCACCTCCTGGCTGGCTCCTTTCTGGGTCTGGTCCTCTGACCTCCTCCCCACACGTCCCCACCACAGTGACTCAGGAAACCAGCAGGGCTGCTGTAAGAAGGAGACTTGGACAGACCGCCGAGCCCGAGTGCCTTGTTCCTGCCTCTATGGACATAGTAAATGAAGTGTGGAACCTGAGAAGGCAGCCCTATAGGACATAACAGAACGGCTGCTGTGGGTTTCCAAGACTAAAGCTTTATAGGAGTAGAAAGCCTCGCCTCTCTTTCATGGAGCAGCTAGAGGTTTAGAACTGCTGACCTGGCACTTAGAAGCCCAATGTGAAATCCACGACACCACCACGCCTCTTTGGTCCCATATAGATTAGTGCTTATCCCCTATAAAATATAATGCTTATGGCATACCATTTTACTAGGTAAGCTAAACTATTACTTGGTTTTAAAGAGATTCTAGGGCTCATTTGGGTTTAAAGTTTAAGGATTATTTAAGGCCAATAATTTTGGGGATTCATCCAGTCTCCAGACCCCCACGTCTGAAGTCCATGAGAATTTGAAATTCTGTTCTGCATTTGCCTCCTTTTGATCAGAATTCCTCTCTTCATAGGTGGTATCTTTTTTCTTTAAATCATTTTATTGGAGGCTTGTGTAACTCTTATCCCAATATATACATCCATCCATTGTTTCAAGCACATTTGTACATTTGTTGCCATCATCATTGTGTTAGTCTGGGTACTTTAGAGAAACAAATTCACAGAAACTCATGTGCAAGAGAGACTTTTATGTAAAGGTTAAGTGCATCAAGGAAACATCCCTACCCAGTGCTGCCCAAGCCCACAAGTCCGACATTAGCCCATATGTCTGATACCAATCCACAAAGTTCTCCTCCATCTCACAAAACACACACTATGATGACGACTGCAGGAGGAAAGCCAAATCAGTGAACGTGTAAGCATCTCAGCACTGGCAGGGATCTCTACATGCTGCTCCAGCTGCATCGGGGCAGGTCCATGTGGCTTCTCCTCAGGGTTGTCCTGCAGGAAGTGAGCCTTGCCAGCTAAAGCTAGGAACTGGCCAAGGCAGCTTCACCCTGGTGCGACCATCAGAAAGTAAGAGACCTGAGAACTCGAAAGGCGAGGCTCACTGAGCCATTTATCCCTCCACCCTTCAGTTAACCCCATGTGTTTATTGGCCAGGTTGGCACAATAAAATAACTACCTCAATCATTCTCAAAACATTTGCTTTCTGCTTGAGTCCTTGGTATCAGCTCCTCATTTTTCCCCTCCCTCCCCATACTCCCCTCCCTCATGAACCCTTGATAATTTATAAATTATTACTTTGTCATATCTTACATTTTCCTACTTACATTGTCTGATGTCTCCCTTCACCCACTTTTCTGTTGTCCATACCCCAGGGATTAGGTGATATGTAGATCCTTGTAATCCGTTCCCTCTTTCCACTCCACCCTCCCTCTACCCTCCTGGTATCGCCATTCACCACTGGTCCTGAAGGGATCATCTGTCCTGGATTCCCTGTGTTTCCAGTTCCTATCTGTACCAGTGTACATCCTTTGGTCTAGCTAGATTTGTAAGGTAGAATTGGGATCATAATAGTGGGTTAGGGGGAAGCATTTAGGAACTAGAGAAAAGTTGTATTTTTCATTGTTGCTACAGTGCACCCTGACTGGCTTGTCTCCTCCCCCAGACCCTTCTGTAAGGGGATGTCCATTTGCCTACAGATGGGTCTTGAGTCCCCAATCTGCACTCTCCCTCATTCACAATGATTTGATATTTTTTTTCTTTGATGCCTGATATCTGATCCCATGGACACCTTGTGATCACATAGGCTGGTGTGCTTCTTCCATGTGGGCTTTGTTGCTTCTGAGCTAGATGACTGCTTGTTTACCTTCAAGTCTTTAAGACCCCCAGACACTATATCTTTTGATAGCCAGGCTCCATCAGCTTTCTTCACCACATTTACTTATGCACCTGCTTTGTCTTCAGCAAATGTGTCGGGAAGGTGAGCATCATGGAATGCCAGTTTAATAGAACAAAGTGTTCTTGCATTGAGCGGTACCATGTTTTACTGCAGGAATCATTTCGTGACTGTCCTGTCTCTTGTTAGACTCAACTTTTTTTAGGTATAATTTACATAGGATAAAATTTACATAGCCTAATAAGTATGCAGTGTGAAGTCTTGACCACTGTCTTCAGCCATTTCCAGCACCCCCAAGGGCTTTCCCCTTGTGTCCCTTTGCAGTTCCCACCAGCCAGCACCAGAAATCTGAATCCCATCGCTATGGGTTCATTTTGCATGTTCTATATCATCATATGAATGGAATCAGATGATATGTGTTCTCTCATGTCTGGCTTTATTTACATATTTATTGATGTTAATTGTTTAGTAGGATGTTTTAAGCTTTGTCAGTCTTATATCATGTATGAATAGTTCCTTTATTTTTGTATTGCTGACTAATATTCCACTGTATGAATATACCACAAGTTGTTTATTCATTCTCCTGTCATGGCCCTGTTATAAGGAGAATAACGCGCCCCCCCCTCCCCCAAAGATACCCAGGTCCTCATCCCTAAAATATAAACACGTCACGTGACAATGAGGGCTGGCTGTGCAGAAGCAATCATGGTTGCCTCTCGGTTGATTGTGAAATAGAGTCTGTTCTGGACACTCAGATGGCCCCTGTAAGCACCAGGGCCCTTCAAGGTGCAAGAGGAAGGTGCAGCGTTGCTTCCTCGGAAGGCAGAGGAAGTCCCTTGCGCCATTGCCGGACTCTTGTGGGTGGCCTCTGGAAGCTGGCAAAGGCAAGCAAGCCAAATGTCCTCCACACAGAGCTCCAGAAAGGAACGCCGCCCTTCTCACCTGCTGCTTTTGGTCCAGGGAGAACCACCCACGCTGGACTGCCGTGGAACTGTGAGACGATGAGTGTGTGCTGTCTGCGCCACGTGTTCCTTGGTGGTTTGTCAGAGCAGCCTTGGGAAACTGAAGGCCGATCTGGGGAAGGTCCGTTTGCCCTTGAGACTAGGGTGTGTCCTGCTGTCCTTGGTGGGAGTGGTTTGTAAATGCTAATTGGGTCAACTTGTTTTGTAGCTGTGTTTTCTGAAAATCCTTACTGGTTTCTCTGCCTGCTGTTGGATTCAGTACCGATAGCAGAGTGTTGAGGTCCCCTCCGTCTAGTGGATTTGCCCATGACTCTGCTCAGTTTCGACCTGTGTATTTTAAAGCTCTGCTGTTAGGTACTGAGCTGTTTAGGATGAGGTCTTCGTGGAGCATAGATGCCTTCAGCATTATGTCACTGCTCTGGAGTCACCTTGATCCACGTGGCTGCTCCAACTCTGACGGGCTTGTGTCCGCAGCTGTGGTTTTCTTGGTAGTATTGTGTGTGTCTCTGACTTTATAGTAGAAAGCATGTAGTTGGATGTTGGTCTTTATTTACCCAGACAACATGTCTGAACTGGCATCTTTGCGTTATTTGCCTTTAAAGGGAATGTTGGATTTGCGTCTGCCATCTTAGTGTTTGGGAAAGCCGGGTGTGGGGGTAGGGCGGCTTTCTGTTCCCGTCAAGAGTGACGTCTCAGAAACCCACAGGGCCGGTTCTATGGTCGCCATGGGTCAGAGTTGACTCAGTGGCTGCGAGTTTGTTTTTGTTTATGTTAGTAGTTGCTTTCAGTTGTTCATTTGTTCCTTATTTTCTGCCTGCTTTGGGTTTAGTTTTTACAGAAAAAAGAGACAGCAGTGAGATAACTCCATATACCCTACACTAATTTTTCCCTATTACTAACTTGAGTTTTATCATACATTTGTTACGATCAACGGACCCATGTTGATGCATTGTTATTAAGCAAAGCCCATAGTTTATTCCGATCTCCTTAATTTTTACTTTTCCTTTTCTGTCCCCGGACCCCATCCGAGGTACCGTGTTGCATTGACTCGCCCTGTCTCCTTAGCCTCATGGCATGGTTGGGCCAGCTACGACAGCAGACTAGCACTTAGGCAGAAGTCTACACACCCTCCCACCAGAGCGCCAGGTTATCCTAGGTGCAGGTGTGAGGGTGAACAGCACACGGGTCTGGAAGGGTCCCATCTCGCAGTGCTTCCTCGGGGGCAGACAGGGGGCTTGGGGATGTTCTTGTTAGGGGCCACGGAGTTGGCTCCGACCCGTGACACTGTGTAGAACAGACTGGAACACTGCCTCGGCGCCTCCTCCCTCGCTTCTGGGTTTGAGCCCAGGGTCGGAGGAACTGTTGGCAAGCCATTCCACTGAGGGTCGCCCGCTTTCTACTGACCCTCTGCTTGCCCAAGAACCACGTCCCCTTGAGGACCCGTCCCGTCCCGAGTACGTGAGAGGAAGGCTCACCCTCCTCACAGATGGTGTTAAAAGGGCGCTTCAGTCTCAGCTGTAATGTTAACACATTTAAGGAGAGCGTGTTACTCACAGCTCAGAAGCCCCGTAAGTAACGAGTATAGACCGAGCCAGCTGCGCCCAGCCAGCCGAGGAGCTTTTTTTCCCCTGTGTGGGCGCTGCAGGCAGGCACACTGGCCACACCTGTGGTTAGCCCTCATCTCAGAGCTGTGGAAAGAACTGGGGCTCTGGGAGAGCCCTGGGCCTACAGCCCTGGCAGCCTCCAGAAAGCAAGCCCCTCGGCTGCCGGTCACCCTGCAGCAAGCGGGAGCAGAGCTGTTCGCCGACTGCCCTTGGGGCTGGCAGCCTTTGTCTCCTTCGGTGAGGGAATCCAGAGCAGGTGGACCGTGGGAGTGGGGGGTCTTTACTGCCCAACCCTGGGGTCACTTGGCACCCTCCTCCTGTTCAGAAGACTGGACACTGGCTCCTGGGGGAGTCCAGTCTGTCCGAGTCTTGTCAGTGCCCTTTTGGTTGGAGCCACAGGGCCTTCTGTGGTCAGCAGCCTTCCTGGCAGAGAGAGCTGACCTTGGGCAGGCTGGCTCAGCACGGGTGGGAGTGGGAGCGAGGCAGCCATGAAACTGGAGCCAGGCTGGGGCCGGCTCCTCCGTGGAGGACAGACGATCAGAGTCAGATGCTAGGCCACGCTCTCCTTTCTGCTCAGGGCTCAGGGCTGCCTCCCCTCTGCCTGTGAGCCCCATGCTACCTGCCTAGCCAGGTGCCCCCCCTCCACTCGTCCACTCATGATCCTGCCTGGCTTCCCAGCTAAGCCTCCCGTCTGTGGCTGCCGTAGGAAGTGTAGTGGAGGGAGACACTGCAGACCTCTAGACCGAGCCAAAGAGGCAGGAGGCTACTACTGTTGCGAGCGTTTGTTCATCTTCGTTTTTGAGCAGTCATCCGTCCAGGTGTCCTTCCCGACACACTGAAGTCCAGGGCCTCAGCGAGGCCACTCCCCACCAGTCCAGGGAAGAAGCAAAGACTCCTTGGAGCCTGAGAACTGCACACCTCACTTCCCTTCAGCGCGGGGCTGCTTCCCCAAAGCCCCTCCCTCCTCACAGAGTCGCCTCCCCCCACAGACATGTGCATGTGAGTGATGGGAAGCGATCTGTCTCGACTTTAATAGCATCTGTAGCAGCTTTTTTTCAATGACTCAACCCCATGTTTCAGATTGTGTGGAAGGGACACAGCGAATGCACTGCTTGCCTCCTGGAAGCTTGTGGAATCAGGCCCAGAGAGGCTGATGACATCAGCCAGTGGGAAGCAAGTCCTCCTCTCTGGGACTGCCCCACCCATTTGTCCCTCCAGTCATGCATCTCGCTATCCTTTGTACAAACTCGAACCCCATCAATGTCCCACTGTGTATTCGGGGTCATGCTGGGAGCTGGTGCACAGTGATTAGCAGACCGCAGGGCTCCTGTCCCCGGAACTTGGAAGCAGAGTGCCATGTGGATAATAAACTTGAAAAGAGCTAGGAGAAGCCTCCCAGAAGAGCTACTGGTGATAGCACAGTGGAGGGGGAGCCGGACCCATGGTGGGGGGTCTGGTGGGCCCACACACAGGCTGTGGCTTTGGGGCTGAGCACTCAGCATGAGTAAGGGGTTAACAAGCAGAGCGGGCTGGGTGGAGGATGGTGAAGGGCACACAGCAGGAAGGAGGGACGAAGGCCAGGCTGGTGAGAACCAGAGCTTGGCCAGCAGCTCAGGAAGAGGCTGGGGAGGGAGGAGGGCCCAGGTCTTTTCTCAAAGCTGATGAGCCATGCTGAGGGCTGGGGCCTTTGTCCCCAGGACAGCGAGGAGCCACTGAGGGCTCTTGACGTGAAGGAGGGGCCTGCTCAGAAGTGCAGGGTGCAAGGAGATGGTGCTGGACTGCCTCCTGGGGCAGGTGTGGCTGGGCCCCCAACACCGGGCACGCTGTGCACAGGGTGTGGGGAACAGGAGAGGGAGCGCTGGGAGCCAGGTGGAGTGGAGCCGAGAGGGGTGGGCATGCCACACGTGGAGGGGGCACACTCCCCATCCCCAGGAGTGATCGCTTGAGGCAGGAGTGGGGTTGAAAACAGGGAGGGACAGAAGTCATGAGTTCTGATTTGGACCTGTTGCTTGGAGCCCTTGAGGTCCCCATGAGAATGTTCCAGGATCTGATGTTATTCCCCGTACCCTGAAGCATTGCTCAAGTCCGGGAAGATTAATGAGCCTCTGCCAAAGGGAGCAAGTTAGTGCTCTCTGTGACAGGGGACGACGTAATGAAGATGCATTTCACTTGCAGTGAAATGGGAAACGGAGGGGAAAAGACCTATTGAAAACTTGTGCTTTTTCTCTCTGCTGTACTGTGCCTCTTTCCCACCCAGGCCTCCTACACAGACCCCCAGAGCAAGCTGCGGTTCAGCTCCATCGAAGAGTTCTCCTACATCCGGAGGCTGCCGTCCGACGTTGTCACTGGCTACCTGGCCCTGAGAAAGGCCACGAGCATCGTCCCCTGAGCCCCGAGGGCTGCCACCACATGGGAAATAGTGGTTTCAAAGACTTCGGCCTCAGAGTTTTGTTTCACGGAAACACCATTCAGCTGTCGGTCAGAAAGTGCCAGTGCTGGTCTTTGGAAAGAACGTTTGGCTTTAATTTAAGGACTTTGTTTCTTTCCCCTGTCAGTTTGCCCTCCAACTGTGATGTTAAATTATATTTCACTTGTTGCCTCAAGTAAAGTTGTTTGACAAGAAAGTACAAGAAAATTCAATGAGGTGGTTTTTTTCCAAAGATGACACGAATCCGAATGGCTGGGTACCTGGGTGGCCTCTGCTCCTGGTGACTCACCCTGCAGAGCAGGCCTGTCTCCCTCTGACCAGAGGCTTGGAAGAGGCCCCACACAGATCCCACCCAGAGCACTGAGGCACTTGCCCTCCTCCTTGTGCCTCAGCCTCCCCATCAGCCCCCCAGCCCTGGCCCCACTTTGGAGGGGGTCCCAGCACGGACGCTGCATTTGTCCAAGAAATGTTCTTGTCTTGCACTTTGGTTGCAATCTGCCCCAGAAAGACAGTATCTGTTCTGCATCCTACGGGAAGAGAAAGCATTTCCTTGGACTGGGAAAGCGAACACACCGGGCCACCCAGGGGCTGTGTTCTCTGCTCTTCCAGGGAGACCAGTGGGACAAGTGGGGTAGGGATTAGGGATCCAGGTGCTCCTTCTGAGAAAGCCCCTCCCCCAGGCTTAGAGACAACAAAGCAGGAGTCAGCCAGAGAGCAGTGCTGGGCCAGCTGACAGCTGCCCGGAACCTGGCTTCCTTTCCTCCAGGGGCAACATCCCAGTGTCACTCACCACCTTCCCCCTCGCTAGCGGCGGAAGGATAGAAGTGGTGCTAGCTCTCTGTGCCCTCTCCTCTACCCCCCACCCCCCCAAATGGACCTGTGGTGATGGCCAGGAGAGGTGGGGAACAGCTTTTAAGTCCACACTAACCGAAAGCACCTGAGCCTCTGGTCCTCAAACCATCAGGATTACCCGAGGGCTTGCTGACACATGGATGGAGTCCCACTCTGCCCCCCGCCCTCCGCCCCCCGTGCTGCCAGAGTGACCAGTGTAGATCTGTAGTGGGGCCCAAGACTGCATTTATGATGAGGGATCAGGCTGCAGACCCCGGGCCATTCTGAGAGACCCACTGCCGGATGAAAGAGAAGGGTTTTTCTTGGGTTCCATTCTTGATTCTGCAATGTGTGCCAATAGTCCATTTAGGAAACCCCCCAGCTTCCCTTTCCGTGCAAACAAGCAAGTAAGCCAAGGGTCCTTCCTGCTTAGCTTCCACCTTCAGTGAGAAAAAGAAAATGGGGAGGTAGAGCTCCATCTTTCCCTGTGAGTGCCCTGGACCATTGCCGACACTGATGGCCAGGGCCACCACACTCCACAGTCCGGAGACCAAGGGTAATGTGCAGATGGCGCAGGAGAGGATCCTGTGCGGCCAATGTTGAAACCATTGTGATGGTCCAAGGACATTTCACGCGGAGCATGTTCTCCACGTCTCCGATCGCCTGTCTTGGCACCCCAGGGCCTTGGGCACCTTGGAAGACGGTTCCTTTTGTGTGCGGTCATTTATATACATGTGTGTGTATGTATGGTTTCCTTGTTGCTGTTTTTCCACAGCCTCGCCGTGCTAGACAAGGCATAACTGTCACTGCAGACTCCTTCCTCTTCCAGCTCTATTCCCTACTTCCAATCAGCTCCTAAGCCCCCTCCTCTTCCATCTGCTCCTGCCAATCTCCACCCCACCGGACCCCGGCCTAGGAGCTCAGCACCTTGCTGGGGCATTGGCCATGACCTCCTCTCTGGACCTGGCTGCTAATGAGCTCTGCCCGCCTCTCTGCCATTTCCCACACTGCCTTCCCGTGGCCTTGGAAAACTTGACTGTCCTCATTATGACAGGTCCACTGGTGATTGGTCTCTGATTCGTGTCAGTCCTGGAATTGGCCAAGGATAAACCCAGCCCATCTTAAACGGAAAAACAAAGAGCTGGACTCAAGAAATCAGATTGTCTTCTTAAAACCAATGAGGTCTGATCTACTTTGAGTGGAAACACCCAATATTGGATACTTGTCATCACTGTAAAAGAGAGATGAATCTACTATTGGGCACAGTTTACAACTGCCATGACACTAGTGACATGCTTCCCAACGCTGGAGTGTGTGTGTGTGTAACCCATTTGCCTCCATCCTTCACATTAAAGAACGCATCCGCTCACATTTTCAGTGTGCTTTGCAACTGACTTAACATCTGATGGTCAAAAGTAGACTTCATTGAGAACGTTCTAATTTCTGAATCCATAGACATTGGAAAGAGACATCAAATACTTGATCCTATTTCCAATGACCTATATATAGTTATGAGTTGGAATTACATGTGGACATGACCCATCATCCAACAAAGGATAAACCGTGGGGATAGTTTGCAACATAACAGATGTGTGAACTGAAAGTCTTACATTCAAACAAGCAGTCATCTCTGTGAGGCATCAACTAAATTCACATGGAAAAAGCACATCCACCTGTATGATCCAAATCATAAAGCCCAAATACGAAGGAGGGTAAGGTATCTGAGTTTAAATTGTGAATACCCAACTTATAGAAGGCTATGGATGACAGTGGGAACCCCAAATCCATCTACAGCGTGTACCTACTAGAATTAAGCTTCTGGCGGATCCCTTCTGACCACAGTTGAGAGTCAAGAATAACCTGGCTTTCAGACAGAGATGATTGGAAACTTGATGACTGTGTTGTAATGCTCGCCATTTGATCTCCCTCTCGATCCGTAATGGATTTTCCCTTAGGTTTACATATTTCTTGATTGGGGCAAGATATGACAAAATGATAATTTATAAATTATCAAGGGTTCATGAGGGAGGGGGTCACGGGGAGGGAGGGGGAAAATGAGGACCCGAGGTCAGGGGCTTAAGTGGAGAGCAAATGTTTTGAGAATGATGAGGTCAATGAATGTACAAATGTGCTTGACACAATTGATGTATGTATGGATTGTGATAAGAGTTGTATGAGCCCCCAATAAAAGGATTAAAATAAGTATTTCTTGATTGTAACGCAACAGAGCTTTTCTCTCTGGCTTATTTTAATCTTGCCAGGAGCCTTTTCTTCGTTTTAAAATATATTCATTGTTTTCACTCCTTTTTATTTTTTTGTTAGGCGTTCAAGATTATGAAGCGCAGGAGGGCAGGTGCACAAAGACAATACGGGTGTAATAGCCTATCGGGGGTGGGGCCGGGGGTGGTGAGGGTTGAGGGGACTGGGGAACAGTGAATACGAGAGTAGGGAGGATGTGCTATAACCAATGTGATGATGTATATAAGAGTCTTTATAAAAACAACCGAACTATAGAAGTGTCTGCTATGTGAATTGTAGCACAATAAAACTATTTGGAGCTGATATTGCCAAAAATAAAACCCAGCTTCATCATATAAAATATAAATAAAACTATTTGGAAAAAAAAAACTTGGCCATAAGTCAATAATTGTTTAAGCTGAACATTGGATACACAGGCTCATTCTACCATTGCTTACGTGCGTATGTGGTTTTTTAAAAAAACAATAAATCATTTTATTGGGCACTTTTACAGCTCTCCTAACAATCCATACATCAATTGTATCAAGCACATTTGTACATGTGTTGCTATCATTGTTTTCTCTTTTTTTAGATCATTTTATTGGGGGCTCATACAACTCCATACAAATGTGCCAAGCACATTTGTACACTTGTTGTGATCATCAGTCTCAAAACACTTTCCTTCTACCTGAGCCCTTGGTATCAGCTTCTCATTTTCCCCCTCCCTCCCTCTCCTTTCTCCCTCATGCACCTTTGATAATTTATCAGTTATTATTTTTCCATGTCTTACACTGACTGATGTCTCCCTTCACCCACTTTTCTGTTGTCTGTCCCCCATGTATGTGTTTTTTGAATAGAGTTTGTAAAGATAACATTGCCTTTATTACTAAGAAGTATGATAAGTTTTCACCTGACTGCAGGTCTGCATGGCCTTGACGTGGCAGCCGTGACGCGGCACATTGGGGTGGCCGGGGTCTCGAATAGAGGGGCAAACCCAGAACCGCAGGCTTTCGCTAGGAGTGTCTTAGGAAAACGAACCACAGACCGGTGGTGGTGTTCTTCTTCAGCTGTTCTTAACTGGGACCTTCTTTGTGTGCTCGTGTCGGGGGAGCTGGAGGAGTATTTCCTCTGTTGAGCTGAGTGGACGGAAAGAATGGGAAGACCAAACTCATGAGCCTAGAATTCCTCCTGGGTATAAATAAACCACACCGCGGTGAGCTTGGGATACATGAGAATGACTGAGAAATACCTCGGGATCTCCTTCCTAATGGAATCGGTAATAGTTGTATAGAATGAAATTAAATCTCTATAGATCTAAGCACACTGACAAGACTGTTTGGGCCCAAAGAATTAATTGCTTTCGCCAAATTTCAGCAAGCTTGATGCTTTTGTGCCTCTATTAAAGAATGGTATCGAGAGAGGCAAGGAGGCATGAACTTACCTAAATTTCTACTGCATCCGAGATACACCGTTGGACCCTCCACTACCCTATCAGTGAGTTCAGCTCAGCACCCAGACTGGTGTCTAACGGAGAAGCTTTGAAGCTCATTTTTACAATAGACAAATTCTGAGTTCTTGGGGAAATTACTGAATTATTATCAAATTCTCAATTTCCATATCTGTAAGATGAGCACCCTAACCCTATCCATCCTACATGGCTGTCAGGAACAGATGGAAAGTGTTGGAAGAGCATTTACCCTGGCCCCAATTCCACACACTCAGAACATGGACAGTGTGGTCACCTTCCTCTGGTGTCTGCACTGAAGAGATGAGTCTTTTCCTGACGAGACGTGCCTCTTCTGTCCGACTGTCTCCTCTTATATTGTCTAGACTGGTGGATCCAAATCGACAACGCCCGTGGCATCCTAGAACAACATCATATGGTAGACATTTCCGTGTGTTCCTCTCATTGCTGGCTTTCCAAGTCTTCTTCGTTGGTTACCTTGGCCGTTAACACCATCTGCTGCCCTGTGTTGCTTTACAAGGTAGCTCAACTTTTTCTATGACACAAGAAAAGGCATCCGTAACCAGCTAAATCATAAAGCAAATGACCTGTGATGGAGGCTGAAAGGGCAGGAGGGGGGACAGAAGTCATGGGTGGATTGTAAGGACTCTAACAGATGCGGACTCACTGATCCTCCTA